CAAATCATATATAAACTGGTTAGACAACTTGGTACAGGGAAGGGAACTATCGGGGGAAACGCAACGCAATGCAATGCAATTAAGACTGTAGCATTACCGGCTATTCATGCCCGTGCCACCTGTTGGGTGGCTTAATCTTCATCAATCAATCAATCAATCGACTAGGAGGCTAACCATAGCCCGTGCTTCTTGCCCCGTTCCTGTGCTAGGTAAGTTACGGGCTCACCATAGCTTGTGCTACTTGGAACTTGTTCCGAGTAGCTGAATCTATAACAACACAATCGACTACAGCACTTGGATAAGAAAGATCAGGATAAGAATTTGGGACGGGACGGGACGGGACGGGACGGGACGGGACGGGACGGGGGGGGGGGGAGGAATGGTGCCCAACCACTTGAACTGTCCTGCGTGAAGGGAGACTGTCGCCCTACCGTCCACCCAAGTGGTTGGGCACCAACCACTTGGGTTGGTTCTGTGTGTGTGTGTGTGTGTGTGTTTACTAGTTGTGTTTTTACGGGGGTTGAGCTTTGCTCTTTCGGCCCGCCTCTCAACTGTCAATCAACTGTTTACTAACTTTTTTTTTCCCCCACACCACCCCCTCACACCCCAGGAAGCAGCCCGTGACAGCTGACTAACTCCCAGGTACCTATTTACTGTTAGGTAACAGGGGCATTCAGGGTGAAAGAAACTTTGCCCATTTGTTTCTGCCTCGTGCGGGAATCGAACCCGCGCCACAGAATTACGAATCCTGCGCGCTATCCACCAGGCTACGAGGCCTGTGTGTGTGTGTGAGGAAGTTTAAAAGCTATTTTCGCCCATGTACACTTCACATACTATCTGGTGTGCCTGGTATTAGGTCCATAACGGTTATATTCGTCCAGGCCGCTTGCACGCGTGGTGGTGTGTGTGGGGGGGGTGCGATTGTGAAGGACACGCAGGGGAGGGGGTGAGGGGGGAGGGGTGAACGTCGTGGATCATGTCCTGTAGTACAAACATGTTAGCCAGAGCGTGCTTTTGGGCTACGGTGAACCGTGTCAGTAGCACAATACACCGGTGACGGTGATCAGACTGTTGTCGTGAAGAATACCCACTCTCGCTTTGCCGCCTCGCCCCCCCCCTCCTGGGGGATGGGGAGGGGGGGTCGCTATCAATACATCTACATTGATAGCGTACGATGTAACATTTAGTACGCTATCAGTGCCATTGATAGCGTACTAAATAACTAAATTTTATTTTGAGGAGTGAAATTACTCGCCGTAGCGTAATATAACAATTTGGCTAAATTTTGTTGGTATAGGAGGAAACTGGGCGTTCCGTGCGTGGATGGACGGACTAGTTTGGCGCCTTGCTTTTGGTGAGTCTCCAACCCGTCCTCCACAAGTCCATTGCATCCAGCGGTCGACCCCGCAGACGCATTCATCAATTTTTACATGTTTATTCAAAACGGGAATTTTGTCAAATATAAATTATTATAATAGCATATTGTGCCTATATAGGCATTGGTTAGGTTAAGTGTTTAAAGTTCTGTTCGCGATTATTTGTTTGTAGTACGTGGGTGAAGCATTTACAGCGTTGTGGTTCGAACAAAAGTAGTCAGTGAAGCACATGCTCTGGAAGTGTTCGAACGTAAACAGTCGAGTTGTGTGTAAACCGTTTATCATTCATAAGCAGGAGGTTTGGCGGGTGGATGGAATCACTTTTGGGTCTTTGTTTCGAGGACGGGCTGGATTCTGGCTTTGCTAGCTAATTCCACCTTGGCTTCGTGCCCAGGTGGCTTCAGCAAGGTTGAGAAATATCCTTAGAGCCTTTATTGTTCTCTGGAGTATTAGATAATTGTCGCTTGTCACCGTTTCCATTAATCTGAGGAAAATTTGACACATTTCCTTTGTGATGCTTGGGGACGTGTGGAGTGTGTGCTTGGGGACGTGTGGAGTGTGTGCTTGGGGACGTGTGGAGTGTGTGCTTGGGGACGTGTGGAGTGTGTGCTTGGGGACGTGTGGAGTGTGTGCTTGGGGCTTGGTTGTCCAGACGAACACGGCGAGGTTGGCTCCTCCTCTTGGTCGTTTACGCTTCCTTCGTCAAGGTCCAATTTTGAGCAGCAGAAACGGGTCTTTTTGAGATCTTCGTGGGGCCCCGTTAGCGCGGGTGGTGGTGTAGGGGTAAACTCGCTCTTACCAGTGGTAGTCCTTGTGGTCCCAATTGGTCTGTCTGGGCGTCGTGTGGTTTGCGCCCTCCCGCCACCTCGCCAAACGGTTGCTCATCCCTCTGCTCTTCGGCAGGTGTCGCCAGCCACAATACCTTCTGGTAGCCGCTTGTGGCTTGGACGCGACTCTGGGATCCACTCCTAGGGATGACTGGCGGGGGTTGGTGATCGTAGGAGCGCCCTGTGAGGTGGTCGAGCGGTGAGGCTGTGGCGGAGGGCGAGGTTGGGGTAGCTGGTAACGGGGTTAGACACGGCCTCGATGGGGGGGAGGTGGAGGGAAGGGGGGTGTGTGGAGAGTGGTGAACTGGCCGACCTTGGAGTAACTGAGTAACAGGTCTGGTGGGAGGGGGAAAGTGGCCCTATCTCCTCCCCCTCCCCCCCTTCCTTCCCTCCAATCTCGCCACCACTAACCCAATGCCCACGTCTTCAAACTACCCCCCCCCTCCCCCCCCCCTCCCTCCAACACAAGTCGAGTTTGCCATCTAGGTGAACCACCCTCGCAAGTCACTTACTTTCCTCTATTAAATCATCTATTTCCTTAACATTTATCCATTACTCCTCTGTTTACCTTATTCTCATCCCTTTATCCCTATCCACCCATTATCCATAGTCTAACTCATCACTCTACCTATTGCCTACTTTTTCTGGTTCTTGTGGGATCAGTGTTTCCCGCGGCCCGGTCTCTGACCAGGCCTGCAGGTTGGAGGCCTGGTCAGCTAACTAGGCGCAGCTGTACGCAGTCGTTGCACAAAGTTGCTTTAATAGTTCTTTTGAGATCGCTGGCAAGTTAGCAACAGTATGTGGCTGGTAGAGCGAGGCGTCTCTTAGGTGTGGAGGGAGTAGCTGCGGTACAGTTTGATCAACTCAGTTATTCATTCCCTGTCTGTCCAAGCCACTTGGGCCGGACGGTTGATCGACGGTCTCGCGGCAGGTCTTGCTTCACGCAGGTCGGCGTTCAATCCCTGACAGTCTAAGTGGTTGGGCGGAATTGGAAGGAAGGGTTCCTTTCCCCCGTCCCATCCCAAATGCTTATCCGGACCACTTCCAAGTGGTATATAATCGTAATGTCTTGGCGCTTTACGCCCTGATAATTCCCTCCTTCCCTTTTGACAATTTATAAACTTTGTTCGTGACAAGGACGTGGTAGACTTAAGATTTTCAAAGACATGCGAGGACAAATTCATAAAAGGAAAACATCCAAATTATCTTTCACGTAAAGAAGAATTATATTTTACTTTTACACGAGTACTGATTCTATGCTGGAAATAGGAGGGGTCGTATACCCTCCAGGAATTCTGTTCATTAAGAAATGCGAAGTACAGTTACTAAGGCGCTCGATGTGATACGAAGAAAACTCCTAGATCCTGGCGAAATACCAGAAGCACTTACCCCCCCCCCCACCCCCCTTCATCTGCAGTTTTGTGTTCTTGTTCGTTCATGTAGGATTCACCTAGTTGTGCTTGCAGGGGTTGAGCTCTGCGCTTCACCCCGCGCCTCAACTGTTACTAATTATTAAATTTTTCGAACATGGACACAAACACACGCACAAGTGTGTGTGAGAGAGATTAAAACATTGATTGTAACCATGATATATATGTGCTCCAGCCTACAGTTTAGACCTATTGTCTTATGTATGACCCTCTGTCCTGCGTAGCAGTGAATACTAGCATTATCCTCAATTTAATAAGACCTATCAAAATCCTCAGATTAGGCAAAATTGTAATTAAATTTGTCAAAGATGTTAATAATAATAAGAGATCTTGAAAATGTGTTGTACGTTAGCGGAGTGTGGTGTGTGCTGTGGGGTTAGTGGCTGTGACGTTACTGATGACGCGTCCTTCATTCTGGCTGGCTTTGTGAGCCCTTCTTCCCTTGTGCTCGGTCTCGCTCGGTGGTGGTGGTGGTCTCTCTAAACACTGGTGGCATAAGAGCACCATTAATGGTCCTAAGTGTACACTACCAGCACAGATCTGTTGCCCTACCAGCATTCATTGACGCCTCGTGTTAGGAACGGATCTATTTAGTGTGTTTTGATTTGGTGTTAAATGCGCTTGTAATGTTAAGGTAGTCATTAGGTACAGAATGTAGTGTAACTGTACTAGAACTTTCCTGCGGTTGCTTAGCTTGGCTTCATCAGTATCTAAAGAAAACATGTTTGAAATGAGTCAACACAGTCGGCTCTGTTGACGCATTTTCACTTGAAATTTGACTCCTTATTCGAACTCAAAATGTTGTTGTAGTTTGATGTATTAGTTGTAGGTTCCTCTGCCGTTTGTTCCTCTTGTCAATTATCTTCTTTCGCTGTTGATGTTCATGCTGCTGTTCGCTCTTTACTAGGCTTTTGTCTACCCGTTGTTGGTCCCGGGGATCAATGTCCCCGCAGCCCGGTCTCTGACCAGGTCTCCTTGGTCAAGTTGGCCTGGTCAAGAAGGCTGCTGGACGCGGCCGTGTTCACTCCTGATCCTGTTGCTGGCTAGTTTTTACACGGGTGTGGTCGCCTGGTGGCGTCAGTGACCCAGGTGTAGCAGTGGTTATAATGTCATGAACAAGTCACAGTACTATTACAATATGAAGGCCTTGTGACCTGCAGCTGTTAGTTTTTCAGTCCTTAGAAACGCCGCCATTTGTGTCTTGGGAGGTGGGGGGGGGAGCTCAGAGGACCTCTGAAGATGAACTGTGTGTGTGTGGGGGGGGGGAGAGCTCAGAGGACCTCTGAAGATGAACTGTGTGTGTGGGGGGGGGGGTTCTGAACACCTTGGGCCCGCACGCTCGTCTTAAGGATAAGCTTTGTGAACTGATGGCGGCCTACTATGATAGTTTCACGACGGGAGGCTGGTGAGGAGTGGGTGTTCAAGACCTCTCAAGACAGGTTCCTCGCTAAAAATACTTACTAGCGACAACAGACTAGTTGAATTATCTCGCACTTTTTAAGGTGCGAATCCACACTGTAGATGGCGACGCATAGAAAACAATATTACTTTAATTTTTTTATAATGCTTCGCATTTGTGAGGAATTGATTGGTTCCGTCAACTGTGACGTATTAGGTGAAGAGTCGTCTGTCCACGACGGGTTGGTGGAGAGTTGGAAGTAACTGGAGGAGGAGGAGATGGCGAGGCAGAGGCCTGGCGAGAGAGTAAGTGGTGGGGCCCGTGGCCCCCCCCCCTCTCACCCCAACCACCTCAAGGTAAACAACTGCCTACCTGTTAAGCCTCTGGTCTACGTGTACCAGATTGAAATCCATAGCCAAGCCTCGATGAAGAACAATGCAGTGTCTTGTGCTTATACTTAAGGGGGGACGGCAAGTTATTGTTTATAATGTGATGTCTCGATGTTAATACGGCGTTGGAGCCATTACAGCATACAGGTATAGATAAACGGATACAATTACTGTGAATGTAATTGTATTCTTATATTGTCAGTGAATTTAAAGAACTGTCGGACGAACAAGCTGTAGTGGATATGTGGGCCACCACACGCAAGTCTATTGGACCAAGGTCTCACAAGTCGAGCCGGGCCCCGAGCCGGGCCCCGAGCCTGGCCCCGAGCCTGGCCCCGAGCCTGGCCCCGAGCCTGGCCCCGAGCCTGGCCCCGAGCCTGGCCCCGAGCCTGGCCCCGAGCCTGGCCCCGAGCCTGGCCCCGAGCCTGGCCCCGAGCCTGGCCCCGAGCCTGGCCCCGAGCCTGGCCCCGAGCCTGGCCCCGAGCCTGGCCCCGAGCCTGGCCCCGAGCCTGGCCCCGAGCCTGGCCCCGAGCCTGGCCCCGAGCCTGGCCCCGAGCCGGGCCCCGAGCCGGGCCCCGAGCCGGGCCCCGAGCCGGGCTTGAAGAGATCTGCCAGAGCTTCCTGCAGGCACAGTTAGTGCCTGGAGTGGACAGTTAGTGGGCACTAACTGTGGTTAGTGTCCAAAGGCAAGTTTTTAGGCACTCGCACAACTTCGTGACTGACCTGTAACGGGATTTTTTTCTTATTATTGGACAGACAAAGGTTCCCCTGTTGATTGCCTGGTCACTGAGGCTGTTTGTGCTAGCACCCTGCTGGATTTTACATAGCTAACCCATATTGATATACTATCGACTGAATAAACTCTTAGGTCTTTCTGTGGTCTTTGAGCAAAGGCAGTTTGACGGGAAGGGAGGTACTTACAGAAGTTTTTCTTCTACCCGGAGGATATGACTGTTCCATGCTCTAGGACTGGGGTCTTGTTCGGTCACGGAGCTCGTCTCCTCCTGTTTGATTAAATGCTAATAATAGCAGAGATTAGAGAGTAAACATTGCTGGACAAATATTTGTATATACAGCGCCTGTGTTCTAGTTTTTCTGATAAGTAAATTGGCTTTCGCTCGATAACTTGCTAGGCTGAAGTTGGGGTACACTCTTGTCAAATTTTTCAGTCGATTTATTTTAACTTTCTATTACGATCTTCAGCGAGTTTAAATAATAGATAAATTGCCTCAACTTCAAATACGTTCGGTGTATGGTGAATATTTCCTGAGCATCTGATAGCTGCTTGAAGGGTTTCTGGGAGTTGTACGCCCCGAGCCCGGGTCGAGGCCAGGCTCGACGTGAGAGCTTGGTCCAACAGGCTGTCGCTTGGAGCGGCCTGCAGGCCCACATATCCACCACAGCCCGGTTGGTCCGGCACTTCTTGAAGAAAACAATCTAGTTTTTTCTTGAAGATGTCCACGGTTGTTCCGGCAATTTTTTTTATACTTGCTGGGAAGGTGTTGAATAACCGTGGACCTCTGATGTTGATAGTGTTCTCTGTGTCTATGGCACCTCTGCTCTTCACTGGTTCTATTCTACATTTTCATCCATATCGTTCACTCCAGTACGTTGTTATTTTACTGTGTAGGGACCTGGTCCTCCAGTATTTTCCACGTGTATATTATTTTGCATCTCTCTCGTCTCCTTTCTAGTGAGTACATTTGGAGAGCTTTGAGACGATCCCAATAATTTAGGTGCTTTATCGCGTCTATGCGTGCCGTATGTGTCCTCTGTACTCTATTTCAGCAATCTCTCCTGCTCTGAAGGGGGGAGTGTACACAAATCTGTGTGTACGACATCTGCATTTTGCTTTTCTAGGGCTTCTGTGATTCAGTGGTTGTGTAACTGTGACAAGACAGGATCTTCCCGCTCTAAATCCATGTTGTCCTGGGTTGTGTAGTTCATTATTTTATATAAAACTAGTTATGTGGTTAGGGATCGCTTTCAAAAACTGTGATTATATTGTGATGTTAGTGAAACTGGTCTATAATTTTTTGCCAAAGCTTTAATACCCCCCTTGTGCAGAGGAGTTATATCTGCAGATTTAAGTGCTGCTGGTATCTCCCCCTGTATCCATATCGACATGAGGGGCACCCCCCCCCCCAACTTCCTTTCCCCTTCTATACACAAGACATAACTAGGACATCACTCTCACTCTTCAAAGTGAACCAACATGAACACCACTTTAAGGATACCTGATCAACCAGGTTGTAAATCATACGTCAGACTGTGGCCATCGGTATATAACGGGGTTGACGAGACCACGCCGAGCTATAGCTTGAGGCTTGGCCAGTCGGGCCTGAAAGACGCTCTAAGGTAAGGTGTCAAGTCAGTTTGTAATAGACTAGTTTGGCCTAGGTTGTTAGACTCGTGCTATGCTGTCTACAATATTGCTAATACCAGCATGCAGTCTGGTGTCGACCTTTCTAACCTATGTCGACACTTCTAGCTTCGTGTCGATCTCACTTATACCTGAATTTCGAGTTAGGCAAGCATAAGCAAGCTCCCCCCCCCCTCCTCCTCCTCACCTTACTCTACCCCATCACACCCCTCCCCCCCCCCTCCCTCCTGCTGAGCCTGTCTTGGCCTGGATTGTGCACAAGGTCTCTTGGTGTCTTACGCCACCACCACTACCACCTATGTACGTCGCCACCCACCCTCACCACCCACCCTCACCACCCACCCTCACCACCCACATCCTCGCTGACTCTGCCGCCCACAACCAAGGTAATCAGTATGCAACTCTAGCCTTAAATTCAAGCACAAAAACATACATGTGTAGCAAAGTACAGATTCACCGAGCGCACAATTAGAAATGATAGGAAGTTTGGAGATGTTTTCAGTACCAACACGTTAAATTTTGTAACGCTGTATCAGAATAGCCACAAAAGATTATATGGAGGAAAAAAATTGAGTGTATTGACCTATGCGAAGCAGCTCCTATTTATGCCCATGTAAATTAGTGTCTGACCAACGCTTGAAACAATCCAGCGCTCTCCCGCTCTCACTTTTGTTCCCCAAAGGCCTGGGCAGGAAAGCAGGACCCCGGAGACGGTAATCCAAGGAACCGACGCAAGGTAACCGCCCTCAAACTGAAGACGGTTAGACGTCGACCAGTGAAGTCTATGCTTCGTGTGAAGGCCTGGAGTATGTCTAGGCCTCAGTTGTTAAAGGCGCTCCAAATGTGCTTAGGAGACGAGAGAGATGTCAAATAATATACATGTAGAAAATACTGGAGGGCCAGGTACCAACTCTATGCGGTAAAATAACAACATACGGGAGTGAACGATATGGAAGGAAATGCAGAATAGAACCAGTAAAGAGCAAGGGTGACATAGGCACAATCGGAGAACTATATAAACATCAGAGGTCCACGGTTGTTAGACATCCTCCCAGCTAGTATAAGAAATATTGCCGGAACAACCGTGGACATCTTGAAGAACACAATCTAGTTCTCTCTTCAAGAAGTGCCGGACCAAGCGGGGTATGGTGGGATACGTGGGCCTGCGAGACACTCAAAGCAACAGCCTGTTAGACCAAGCTCTCCTAAGTTGAGCCTGGCCTCGGGCCGGGCTGGGGGAGTAGAACTACTCCCAGAACCCCACTTTATACTTTATTCCTGAACATAGTCCAGAACTAAAGAGAAATGTGCGTACTAGCGGATGAGGTGGGGGGGGGGGGTGTACGGTGGTCGGGGTCACGTGGTTAGTCAGTGTAGCAGTTGGGAGAGATCGGGGCCAACCAGTTAAACGGTCGTGCGGCTACCTGTCCAAGTGGGTTGTTGTCCACGCTTGTTGCGTCCCGGCGTCGCTCGGTAACAATCGCAGATAAAGGCGAAAATCACATGTTGAACGACAAAAAAAACTTGGAAAAATGTTAGATTATTGCTTTTGAAATGTGTGAAGTCATGGGTGCGTTTGGATGTTTTAACTTGAAAGTAATTTGTTTGAAGAAGAGTTTTATGAATTGTTAATTTTAATTTCCTACTGTAGTTGTTGCAGACGGTGGGCCGTTATGGGTAAATACAATGACTTTAGATAATGTATTTCCCCCTCGCCCATGTCTTTTCCTTACTGTTTTTGTTAATTGTATCTATAAGCGCCCCCCCCCCTTCCATGGTTTGTGTCCGCCACACCTCCAACTGTGGAGCTTCAGCTCCAGGGCCTCGGTAGGCTATGAACCAAGCGGGTATATCACTCATCATTCAGCACTGTGGAAGTAGTTGAGGTGTTGTCTCCTTGTTCCGTTTACTGACTGCTAGTGTGCGAGGAAACTTGCTTCCTTGCGCCAAGATGGTTCATCAGGGCGAGTTGCTGCTTCCCAAGAAGCATCATGTGGTGGTCTACCTCAATCCCTGAGTGTTCTCGCCTTGTGTGGTTACTACGTGCGTGCTGGGGCCAGCAGGAGTATCTAAACCCTGACAGCCGCCGTAACCAGCTGTCAATTGCCTAAGTCACTTTGTAATCCGAATTCCTTCTACCTACTTTTGAAATGTTGCTGCATTTGACTACAGAATCTGAATTGTAAATTCCATTTGCTTTACTGGCATTCGGCAATGTTCTAGCAGTTCTTACGCCTTCCTTTGCTCATCTACCCTTAAGGTTCCATAATTATCCTCATGATGTGCCAAATTCTGTACTGAAAATGTATTCGTTGACCTTGTCAATTCCTCCTGAGAATGTTGTATGGTGTTATCACGCGTGTTCCCGCCTCAAAAGTGTGACATGTTTCATCTTCCACAGCCTCTCCTTGAAATGTAATGCTCACTTCAGGCTCAAGCCTCGTTACATTACCATTCGTGCTTTCTAAGGGTGGCGTCATCTCTTATGAGTTGTACTCCAGTGCATCAGTCTCCAAGATAAGTTGTCTTCTGAAAGTCTAAACGTGCCTTAGCTACTAATTGGATCAGGTTGTGATCAGCGAGGTTGTGCCTTGTGTACAGTGTTGGTGGCTTGTGTGTGTGTTGCCTGCGTCTTGCTCTCGTCCACAGTGCTGGGCCAGAGGTCATGTCTCAAGTCTCCACTCACGCTTCTCCCCTCAACGTAACCTTTTTGTGTGTATGTACCTGGAGTTTACCAAGTGTGTTCTGGGAGTTTTTTCAAGCCTGGCCCTGGGCCGGGCCAGGCTTGAATTGTGATAACTTGGTATAACATGATGTTGCTTGGAGCGGCCCGCAGGCCCACATATTCCCTACAGCCCGGTTGGTCCGGCACTTGCAGAAAACTCAAGTTTTTTCTCTAAGACGTCCATTTTTGTTCTCTCAATATTTCTTATACTTGGTAGGAGGATATTGAACAGCCGTGAACCTCCGAAGTTCATTCATTGTTCACCTGATTGCTATGGCAATCAAAGGCAAACCTAAGGATCCCTAAGTTTGAAGGTTCTCTTAATACATCAGAACTACATTTTTTTTTAGGTCACGCTATATTTGCTTGGTTATGTTCCCTAAAGGTTAAGTTATCAGACATTACCAGACCCTTCACATGTTGCTCTTCTACTGAGCGGATTTGATTGCGTTTTGTACCCTGTATTTTGTTTGTTTTGACCGTACCCAAGTTTC